TACTACTCTGCTCTAAAAAAGAATGAAATACTGCCATTTGCAACAACATGGATTGACTTAGAGAAAATTATATTAAGTGAAACAAGTCAGACACAGAAAGAGAAATACCACGTGTTCTCACTTATTGGTGGGAGCTAAAAATAAATAAATATACAAACAAATAAATGTGGGGGTGGAAAGAAGACACAACAATCACAACAATTCCTTGAACTTGTTAAGACAAGTGACCAGACATGATAATATGATGTAGATAGGGGGTGGGGAGAGGGAGGGGGAAGGAAGAACGGTAAAGGGACATGAAAATCAACTACATTGTATATTGAGAAGTTCAAATAAAAATAAATAAATAAAATTCAACGGGTAAGTGGTTCAACAAACTAGTGTGTCCATGCATGGAGTACTACTCAGTGATGAAAAGGGACAGACTACTGACACTCAGTAATCTGGATGAGTCTCCAGGGAATTGTACCTCAGTGAAAACAGCCAGTACCATAAGGTTACATATGGTATGGTTTTATCTGTATGACATTCTTGAAATTACTAAATTATAGTATGGCAAGCAGATTAGTGGTTGCCAGGTATTAGGAGGGGTGAGGTTAGAGGGAAGTGGGTATGACTAGAAAGGGGCAGCATGAAGGATCCTCATGGTGATGGAATGTTCTGTGTCAATATCAATATCCCATTTGTGATTCTGATTATAGGTTTGCTGGTTGTTACCATTGGGAGAAACAGGGTAAAGGATACATGTGATATTTCTGTATTATTTCTTACAACTGCATGTGAGTCTACAATGATCTCAAGATAAAAAGTTTAATTAAGAAAAAAAGCCAGTTCCCTTTACGCCATGTCTCCCTGCAGTTCCTTCCCACTTCTCTGCTCCTTGAAGGACTAGTCTATCCCTGCCATGCTCACTTCCTTACCTCTTTCTCCCTGTAACCCCCACATTCCAGTGTTTTCTCCCCACCACTGAGACTGCTCTTGTCAAGGTTACCAACAGCTTTCTTCTTGCCGACTGCCACAGTCGGGGTTTCTCTTCTCATCTTCCTTGACCTCTCAGCAACATCTGACCTGGTTGATCACTTTCTTGAAACTCTTCACTCTGCTTCTCAGGCACAGTACGATCGTGGTATTGGAGGACATCTGGTTGTTTCCAGTATTGTGTTATGTATAAAGTTGCATTTGTCTGGGGTAAATGCCCAAGAGTGCCAATTTCTGGGTTGTATGGTAGTTGCATGTTTACTTTTTAAGAAACTAAAACTTTTCCAGTTTCATATTCCCATTAGCGGTGTATGAACAGTCTAGTTTTTCTGCATCCTTGCCAGCCCTTGGTGATGTCACTGTTTTTGAACTTTAGCCATTCTGATAGATGTATAGTGATACGCCATTGTGGTTTAGATCTGCATATCCTTATGGCTAATGATGTCGAGCATCTTTTCATGTTTATTTGCCGTCTGTATATCTTCTTCAGTAAAATGTCTCTTCATGTCTTTTGCTTGTGTTCTGTTTAGATTGTTCTTTCACTGTAGAATTTTTAGAGTTCTTTATATATTCTAGGTACTAGTTCTTTGTCAGACATTTGCTTCCAAATATTTTGTCCTAGTCAGTAGCTTGTCTTTTCATACTCTTTACTTGGTCTTTCACAGAACATTTTTAATTTTTTTTTTTTTTTGTCTTTTGTCTTTTTCTGTGTCCGGCAACGGATCGCAACCCTCAGTGTTGCCCCCGTACCGGACCGGGGACCGGCAACGGGATCGCAACCCTCGGCGTTGCTCCCACGCCTCGCTCAGCCAGTGAGCGGGAACCGGTCCGTATGTGGGATCCGAACCCTCGGGCGGGAGCGCTGCCGCGCTTCCCAAGCGGCGCACTATCCAGTGTGCCACCGGGCCGGCCCCAGAACATTTTTAATTTTGATGGAGTCCAGTTTATCAATTTTTCCTTTTGTTGACTGGGCTTTTGTGACAAGCCTTTCCATCCCATGTCCCCTCCGTTCTGTTGCTGTACATTTCCAAAGAGGTTTTTATTTTTAATATTGTATTTTTCAGTTCTAAATTTTCCATTTGGTTATTCTTTATATCTTCTACTTATTTGCTGAGGCTGTTTCTTTGTTGAGACTTTCTATTTTTTCATTTGTTTCAAGTGGTGTTCAAAATTGCTTATTGATGCGTTTTGTGATGGCTGATTTAAAATCCTTATAACATACTTCTATCCTCTCTTACCTTAGTGTTGGCATCTGTATTAGTCAGTGTTATCCAGAGAAACAGAAACAATAGGGTGTGTGTGTGTGTGTGTGTGTGTGTGTGTGTGTATGTTTATTAGGGATTGGCTGACATGATTATGGAGGCTGGCAAGTCCAAGTCTGCAATTTAGGCCAACAAGCTGGAGACCCAGGAGAGCCAGCGGTGCAGTTCCGGTTGAAGGCCGGCCGGCAGAGATGAAACCCAAAAGCAGTCTGTTGGGAAACTTCCTCTTACTTGGAGGATGGTTGGTCTTTTTGTTTATTCAACACTGCAACTCGTTGGAAGGCCCACCCGCGTTGTGGAGAGCAATCTGCTTAATTCTATCAATTAAAATGTTCATCTTATCCCAAAACACCATTTCAGAAACACCCAGAATAATCTCTAACCAAATATCTGGGCACCCCATTGGCCCCGTCAAGCTGACACACAAAATTAGCCGTCACAGCATGTGTATGGGTTGTCTTTTCTCGAACAGTTTGTGCTTTCTCTGGTTCCTGGTGTGATGAGTGAGTTTCAGTTGAAAACTGGACATTTCTGGTATTATGTCATGAGGCCCTGGATCCCAAACTTCTGTTTTATCTGGCTTCCTCTGTCACTACTGTCAGGGGAAGGGGGATACTGTCTGGTTACAGGTGAGTGTAGAGGTCTGGGTTCCCCACTTGGCCTCCATTGATTCATGGAAGGGGCCTTTTCCTTAGCACTGGGCAGGGGTGGTAGGTCCAGTTCTCCACTGTGCCTCCAGGAAACTTCCCTGGCTGGGAGGATCAGGTGTGCTGATCCACCCTCCTTCCTGCTGGATGGTGGTAAAAGCCTGGTTCTCCCTGCTCTCCTCTGACAGCACCCTAGCAGGGCCAGGGCGTGGGGTGCCTCACTGCTGAGTGTGGGAGTAGAAGCCTAGGCCTTCCATGTGATCTCCACTAATACCACGGACATGGGCTGGGATGAGGAGGCCTCATTAACCCCTTGTTGAGGAGAGAACTTCCAGCTCCCTACTTGGCCTTTTCTGACAGCATCCTAGCTTGGGGGGTGGGTGGGTGGGGCGCCTCACTGCAGTCTGGGAAGGTGGAAGTCTAGGCCCCTTACTGAGTCTTTGCTGGGAGGGTGAAGGCAGCATCACAGTCTTCTGTGGTGCTCAGCTGGAGCAGCGTGATGACTGTCTACGTTTTCTGTCTTGCTAGGCTGCTGCTTTCCTGCCCCTTTGGCTAGACAGCTGGCTTTTGCATTTTTTGTCTGTACCTGTTTTTGCATTTCCAAGTTGCAGGCTTCTTCAGCTCCAAGTCTGGGATGTATGAGGCAGAAATAAAACCCAGGGACGCTTAGGTCCTAGCTGGTCTGCCTTCTTTTCTCCACCTTTCAGAGTCTTCTTACGTTTGCTTTACATATAATGTTCAGAATATTTATTATATTTAGCGGGAGGAATAGAGAAGAGTGTGTTTACTCCATCTTCCCAGAAGTGGAAGTCCTTGCTTTGTTTTGTTTTTGCTTTTTAAGATGAGAGCAGTTCGGGTGACGTGGCTGCGATGGGAATGACCCCTCAGAGACGGGAGATTGCAGGAGCCAAGAGCTCTAGTGGGGGAGGGCCTGAGACTGCAGCAGTGACTTCTCGCCTTCCAAGAAGGAAGGCACACTTTGAGGGTGCACTTGCAGGCAGGTTGGTGGCCTTGGTGGCCCTCTAGTCTACAGGTCTGAGTTCCATGTGAGTCTGAGCTAAGGTGTGGTCAGGGAACATGAACTGCAGTTAGAGTTGGGATTCTGAAGGTCATTTTTGGGTTAGGGTCCAGGGATCTCAGGGGCCAGCCTGGAATCGATGTCTAGGGATCAGAAGCCACAAGCTGCAGTCCATCCAGGAGACCCAGGACTTTCCAGGGCTAGTGTCTGCAAATCCTGCCAGGGCTGGCAGACACTGGAGGGCAGGAATACTGACAACAGCACTAGAGATTGGCAGCAGCTGAGGGCAGTTCCCAGGTCATCCTCCGGCCTCTGTCCTGCTTGGGGCCCTGGCCTGTGACGTATGAACTGCCTCTGAAGAGCAAAGTGAAGGGGCCGTCTCCCTCCTGGCCTGCCTGTAGCACTGGACTTGCACAGAGAGTGAGTTTCTCCACCCCTTAGTCAAGTCTACCGGGGACCCATAAGAACAAAACAGCTATGGAATTAAATTGTATTCAAAGGAGCTCACCCTTTTGTGGGCTGTGCTATAAAAAGCACAAGACCTGGGGGAGATGGCCCGTCTTCGCTTTCAGATACTCGGGTAACACCTGAGTGCTGGGTTCTGTCTTGGCAAGGCTGGTGGTGAGAACTGTCCACTGGGGACTTGTGGGGAAGGCGCAGCACGGAGGCTCCCTGCTGGTGCTGCGCGGTGGGAGCTGCTGGTGCTGCGCGGTGGGAGCTGCTGCTGCTGCACGGTGGGGGCTGCTGCCGCTGCGCGGTGGGGGCTGCCGCTGCGCGGCGGGAGCTGCTGCTGAACAAGGTTAGATGTGAAGCTTGGGACCTGTGGGGTTCCATTCAGGAGGAAATGTCTCTGGAGCTGCTCAGGGTACCTGGCATCCTGGGGAGGGCTGAGTGTCCCTGCCCCTCTGGAGCCACAGCCTGGAGAGAGCTCTGCTGTGCAAGGCTCAGGTGTGCTTGGACCTCTGGCTCCACCCGGATTCCCCCAGACTGGTCTCCCCCTGTCCGGACCCTGCCAGGTGTTTGCTTCTGAAGAGAAGCTCGATCAGGGCTGTGTGTCTTGTCTGTCTGTCTTAACCGCTTCCTTCTTGCTTCCAGACAAACGATGCAGCCGGCAACACCTGGAACTGGCTCTACTTCATCCCCCTCATCATCATTGGCTCCTTCTTCATGCTCAACCTGGTGCTGGGTGTGCTCTCGGGGTAAGAGGCCACACGGGCCTGACCTGGGCACCCTCTGTGTTCTCAGGCTGAGGCACAGCAGGCCGTGGAGACGGACGTGGGTCCATGTGACATGGCGGGTGGGCTGGGCCTGGCTCATGGGCCTCCCTCGGTGGCAGTTGCTCCCAATGTCCTGGGCCCTGGTGGCCTTTCCTCTGGGCCACCGTCCCGACCTGTCCCTTGACCATCCCCTGGCCTCCTTCCTCTATCACCCCCTTAGCCTTTGCCCTGGCCTCTGCCATGGGAGGGGCTGCTGCAGATCGTGCCTGGTGTGGCCTGTGCTGGGGTTTCTGGGAAGCCTCAGAGAGCAAACCCTGCTACTGCAGTGAACGAGTGGAGTGACCCTCTGGGTCTTGGCTCCAGTGACCACTAGACGCTTTACCCTGGCCCTGACCCCTGTGTGCCCTCTCCTGTCAGGTCACCTCTTTGTGCCAGGCTACTCCAGAGCGAGGGTGCAGGGCTGGGAGTCCCTCACAGAGCAGGACTCTTCCTGAGCCCTCGGGAGAGTGAGATGTCGCAGGCTAGCGTGGCCAGGCCTAGCCTGGGGACAGCAGCACTCTCCTGTGCTGGCCTGTGGCTGAGGAAGTGCAGTGTGCTGAGGGGAGCAGTCTGGCCCCGCTTCCACAGAGCTGAGGAGACTGTGCTGGAAGGAGGCAGAGAGTGTTAGACTTGGCCTGCCCCTGTGCCCCCACCTTGGCATGCAACTCCCTGTGAAGCTGGAGGGGAATCCATTCTTCCCACCCTGAAGATTCCTGCTCAGTCCCAGGAATCCTGTGGTGAGCTGGGGATAGCGTCTTTGATACAGCCTGGTGGACCCAAGGGGTGGCTGCCACACTGGCCTGAAAAGGAGCAGCCACAGAGAGGACAGTGGCTGGGGGCCATGGCCTCTGTGCTCTGGATGGTGTCCTTAGCCTTGGTCCTCTCCTGTAAGGGATATGATTATCACTAGCATGTCATTCCTAGCGTTTCCAAAGGGACCAGTTAGGGCCATAGCACAGGGGATGGACGTAGAACTCCTGGTCTGGTGGAGAAGCCAGGGGAGGCCTGGGGCTCAGAGAAGGCAGCTGGGGGTGGAGCCAGGTGAAAGAGGACGGAGAACCTTCCAGGAAGAGCACAGGTGGGTGGAGGCTCAGTGGTGCGGATGGGCATGGCGTGTGCTGCAGGGATGCTCGGAGCTGGAGCCGGAGGGTGCAGTGGGGAGGGGGTGCCCGGACTGGCAGGGGGCTGGCGGTCACCAGACTTGTGAGGATGTAGGCTCTGTGCTGAGGACAATGCACAGTGGCAAGACTGGCAGAAACACGGGTGGGTCCACAGGGAGGCAAGAGAGCAGCCTGCTCAGGGTTGCTTTGTGGATCGTGCTCTGGAGAACGTGCAGAGAGGACTGCGGGCAGGAGAGGGGCTGGAGGGCAGGGGCTGCGTGGTGGGGTAATGGGCCTCGTGTCTCCCCAGCTCCTCCCTCAGCTGTGAGCATCCTGGCCCTTGGGTGCAGGAGGATATGGGGTGATTTCCTAATCAGTCCAGCTGAGCCCTCCCTTAGGCACCCTGGCAGGCACTGTCCATGAGCTTGGGGTCAGTCCCGGTCAGAGCCAAGCTTTCCCTCTCACTGTGGCTGTGTGTGCAGGAGTCAGGCCTCTGAGACCCACTCCTCTGGGAAGCTTGTTTCATGTATGTGTGCCTGCGTGCGTGTGTGGACTCGTGTGTGTGCGTGTGTGTGAGTGTGTGTGAGTGATGGCTTCCTTCTGGCACCGTGAGCTGAAATGCTCAGCTGGAAGCCTGGGGCCGGGGTGGGGTGCTGGCTGGAAGGGCACGTGTTCTCTGCAGGTCACCACATCTGTGCAGTGTCAGGAGGGGCCGGGGTGGGGTGCTGGCTGGAAGGGCAATAGGTCTCTTTTCTTTCCTGTTCGTCATGAGCCTCAGAGGTTTGGTTGAGGCTCCACGGACCCTACGATGTTTTCCTTCTGCCTCTGGCCTGCCCGGATCAGTCCCTTCTCCCCCCGTTCCAGTCTGTCCTTTTTCCTTCTAGCAATGGTTTTGCATCTGAACTAAGTGAACATATTTCTCTGGAGAATTCCTGCCCAGAAGCTCTTTGTAGGACAGCAGATAATAGGCCTGGCACTTGGTGGGCTGCATGCCTAGGCCTGCTCTGTGAGCCACACGGTGCTCTGTGGCGCTCGGGTTAGAAGAGCCAGGTGGTAGGAGCCGACCTGGAGGGGTGGCCCGGGCCTGCGTGTCCCCTCCCGGCCTTGTCCCGGTCGCGTGGTCGCGGGTGTGCGTGCACTCGCCTGACGTCGCGTTTCTGGCCCCGCTGGCACAGAGAGTTCGCCAAGGAGCGGGAGCGGGTGGAGAGCCGGCGCGCCTTCCTGAAGCTCCGCCGGCAGCAGCAGATCGAGCGCGAGCTCAACGGCTACCTTGAGTGGATCTTCAAGGCTGGTGAGCGGGGGTGGTGGCCGCGCTGTTGGCCTGCCTCTGTCGCCTGTCCCCAAGTCCCCTCTGCTGCTGGCCGGGGTCCTGGGGCTCTGGGGGAGTTGAAGAGGGGATCGCTGAGCCGGCCTGGAGGGTCCCTGTAGTGAAAAGGGCCCAGGCTCCTGGCACTGGTGGCCATGTGCCTCTGAGGACGGTGGCCTTCGTACTTGAGGGTTCTGCATGGCCCGGCCTAACTTGTGCCCGTCCCTGTTAGATCTAAGCAGCCCAGCTCTGCCTGGCTCCCCTCCCCCAGCCCAGCGGTCCCCTCCACGCGGGACCACATCGGCCTGCAGAGGTTTCACAGGTGCCTCATCTGTGATGGATTCACCCAGAGGGGCCACGGCTGTCGGGGCATGGTGGTGTGTGCGTGGGGCACAGGGAGACGGGGGCGGCGGGGCCTCCTCACAGGGCGCTGCTGGCTTCTGGAGGCACAAGAGCTGAGAGGCAGCGTCCCCCAGACAGAGGCGCCCTTGTCCGGGCTTTTCCTGGGGATGGGCCTGTCGGGGACGGGGAGAGGAAGGCTCTGACCTCAGGCTGTGTCCCCCTCACAGAGGAAGTCATGCTGGCAGAAGAGGACAAGAATGCAGAGGAGAAGTCCCCCTTGGATGGTAGGTGACTCCTGTTGGTAGTCCTCATGGGGTGAGAGAGCTCGGCTAGCCGCGGGGGCAGTGACACGCATGCACACCTACGTCCTTCTCTCTGCGGTGCCGGGCACCTGCACACCTGCCACTTTAACACAGACCTGGGGCTGTAGAGGCCAGCCCTAGACTTTGTGACACATGCACACTTGTCACCATAGGAAGCTCTGTTGAGCAGTGCTGCTTCTAGAAGCTTTAAAACTGTGGGTTCAAACTGAGCTGTATCTGTCCCCAGGGCTTCAGGTAATGCTGCTCCCAAAGGCTGTGGAAAGACTCCTGGCACAGCCAGGGGCCACCGAGGTGAGGGTGAGGGCCACCACTGCTGTGGGCTCAGCTGTCCCACACCGGAGGCTCTGAGCAGGCCTGTGCCGGCTCCTCTCTGCAGCCCTGGCCGTGCCCCAGATGGGTGTTTCCTGGTCTCTCCGGTGGCCCCGTCTCTCCACTGACCTCATTTTGGAGGGAAAGAAAAGTGGAGACCCCCCTCCAAACCCCTGTCCCTTTTGCTATGAGAACTGAGGAGGCCCAAGGGGACCAGGCGTTGTCCTGCCTTGGCCTTAGCTCCGGCTTCAGGGTAGGAGCTCGGGAAAGGTCACTAGCTCCAGGGGAAGGGTGATCCCTGTGCGGCTGGAAGAAACCCCGAGCCCCAAGCGGGCTGCCCGAGGGCTGCAGCTCACAGGCTGTCTCCCACCCTTTGTTTAAAGCAGTGTTGAAGCGAGCGGCCACCAAGAAGAGCAGAAACGACCTGATCCACGCAGAGGAGGGGGACGACCGGTTTGCAGACCTCTGTGCTGTCGGTGAGTCTCATGGGTCCTGGCTCTGTGAGCTTGTGACTGGACAGACAGTGTGCCCCCAGCTTCCTCCTGGGCACCGAGCCACTCCTGGAGCCTTGTCCTTGCCCAAACGCCTGCTCATTCATCTCAGTGCGCTCTGCTGGCTGCTGGCTGCTGTGGGGTCTGCCATCCCCATGTGGACACAGAGTCCTCGGCCATCTCCCGAGGCTGGAGGGCTGCGTGTGTCTCTCTCCATAGCCCCTGACTATCTTCTGCCTTCCTGGGGCCTGCTGCCTCTGAGCCCCTTGCTGCATCTCCTTCTTCTCAAACAGTAAAAGGGAAATTCTGCTTAATTTTAGTTCCCTTCCCCTTGGTCTGGTACCAGACTTCTGGGCGCGTCCCCACCAGATGGCCAGTCATGGTGCATTCTCCTGTGAAGGAGGACTCGGCCCTGGTCTCCACCTTTAGCTGTGTGGGAGAGGCACAGGCACATGGCAGTGATGGCTTTTCATTTCGAGACNGCAGAGGTTTCACAGGTGCCTCATCTGTGATGGATTCACCCAGAGGGGCCACGGCTGTCGGGGCATGGTGGTGTGTGCGTGGGGCACAGGGAGACGGGGGCGGCGGGGCCTCCTCACAGGGCGCTGCTGGCTTCTGGAGGCACAAGAGCTGAGAGGCAGCGTCCCCCAGACAGAGGCGCCCTTGTCCGGGCTTTTCCTGGGGATGGGCCTGTCGGGGACGGGGAGAGGAAGGCTCTGACCTCAGGCTGTGTCCCCCTCACAGAGGAAGTCATGCTGGCAGAAGAGGACAAGAATGCAGAGGAGAAGTCCCCCTTGGATGGTAGGTGACTCCTGTTGGTAGTCCTCATGGGGTGAGAGAGCTCGGCTAGCCGCGGGGGCAGTGACACGCATGCACACCTACGTCCTTCTCTCTGCGGTGCCGGGCACCTGCACACCTGCCACTTTAACACAGACCTGGGGCTGTAGAGGCCAGCCCTAGACTTTGTGACACATGCACACTTGTCACCATAGGAAGCTCTGTTGAGCAGTGCTGCTTCTAGAAGCTTTAAAACTGTGGGTTCAAACTGAGCTGTATCTGTCCCCAGGGCTTCAGGTAATGCTGCTCCCAAAGGCTGTGGAAAGACTCCTGGCACAGCCAGGGGCCACCGAGGTGAGGGTGAGGGCCACCACTGCTGTGGGCTCAGCTGTCCCACACCGGAGGCTCTGAGCAGGCCTGTGCCGGCTCCTCTCTGCAGCCCTGGCCGTGCCCTAGATGGGTGTTTCCTGGTCTCTCCGGTGGCCCCGTCTCTCCACTGACCTCATTTTGGAGGGAAAGAAAAGTGGAGACCCCCCTCCAAACCCCTGT